CAAGTATAATAAACAATTAATGTGTAACCTGCCGAAACCCTGCTGATTGATTTCTGGAGGATTTTTGGCAAGCAACCTTAAGTCTGGTGGTGAGGTGTTCCATTCAACAGGGAATTTCATAGGTCTTAAACTGCCTTCGACAACTGTTTTGATTTTTAAATAATAATTTACAACAATTACATGTCCCCCAATTATTTAATTGGTCCTGTAATCATTCGTAGTACAAATGTTCACTTTGTTGCATGCCCAGCCAATCCAAGGGTCTACAACAAGGGTTAACCTTACTATTTGAGACGTCGATCCTAAGGTTAAACCTCTTGGATTGGGTGAGCATGCCCCATATATTCTAAATTAATATATTTACTTACCCCTAGGAAAAAACCCCTTTATTATTATAATGGGTGATTTTTTTTCCTTTTCTGATAATATATATTATATGCATTAAGACAAATATGCACACAATTTAAAACCAAAAATCTGCACGCCATAGTACTTACTATTACAGTATATATTAATATTAATATACATATCCACAAAATGTAAAATATGCATGCGTATACTCGGAAAACTTTTCTAATGTTGTCGTTGAACATATTTTTCACAGCAGCTAAAACACAAAATCATATTCAAACTTCTGCTTTACATGTGTTATTTACGATGGACCAGATAGTGAAGTTTTGAATTTTGATAGTCTGTGTGTGCACACGTGCATTTAAAATGCATGCATAGATGTGTATATATCTTATAATATCTGAGAAACATATTATGGCATTATTTGAAAAAGAACAAACGAACATATTAAATTCGATGATGATAAATTATTTCTTGAAGAAACAACTGTTAAGTGGCCATGTAAATCAGGTAATTTTGTTTGATACAGCATTTTAACGCTATAATATATTTATTCCATGATGCCATTTATTCAAGTCTGCGCATGCATATACATAGAAAATCGAAACTTAAAGAGTTATCGCGCAAGTTTTTAATATTATAATTTGAATACTTTACTTTGTATCTTATAGACCAGGGTATTGGGACATTTATACTTGACCAAAGAAATCTCATACAATAATAAAACGCTTGATAATATTTTGGTTTCATTTGCTGTAAATGAATTTATTAAAGCCACTTTTATTCTTCTTCAATAATGTATATTTCGTTTAACTTAAAAAGGACATGATTTCGGCATCATTTAAAAAAACTCAACCAATCAAAAACGATAAAATTAACGATCAAATTTAACATATTTAAAATAACGTGAATCAATATATGAATAAATAAGTTTGTAAATTAAGCTTGGTGAATCCTTCTTTTGCTTTTCTCTCTATTTCGTGAGCTTCTTCTGTATTTCACGTATTTCCTTTTATGTTGTTTGATATTGAATATGTACTGCATTAATATTATCAATCAATTCAATCAATCAATCGTCCCGATTATTAATCAATTTCAGTGTGTCTCTCCTTTCTCCTGGATCTTAGTACCCGTCTATCTTTTTTTTATCTAGAATGGATTTGTGTGTGCCCGCTCAATTGTTTTTTTTTTGAACCATCTTAGCTTGTGTTCTATGTATCATATTAAAAGAAATAACCAAACACAGCCGTCATAAGTTTTGCATGGCTTCTCAACTTCATAGTATTAAGATATAATTCATAGAATTGTCATAGAATGTTTCATTGCTGAATTCTTGTATTATGCTAATATATCATTCGTTAGATGTTTAAAGCCTTTTTAAGTTACAAATTGTGATATGTAAAAAGTATATTATTTAAATTAATAAGAAATTCTATAATCGTTTTTTTCTAAAACTAATTCACGTCTCTTTTTCACAGACATAATAATATTTTAACTGTCTACTGAGGCATTCTTCAACCATAAATTGCTTCAATTCATCAAATTTTTAAGCGTTCTTCTTTACCACATGTTCTCCATCGGATTGAGATCAGGTCTATTGAATGGCCAGTCAATCAAGTCAATCCTATTCTCAGCAATGTAATCTTCGCAAAACGTGATGTTTGCTTCGGATTATCGCAAACGCCAGTTTCTATCATGCGACCTTTGTGGAGCAGGTAAAAGCTAGTTCTGCAATATGTTAACATGTAAGGCCCAACCATGATATCAATGAAATTCCTCTCCATGTCATTACTTTTTGCCGTGATTTTGGTAATCTACAAACTGGCATTTATGCCACCAATGAAAAGGATCAAATGCTATTTTATCTGTAAGGACTTACGACTCCACTTGTCGTTCAAATGAGCTTTACCCGAGCTTCAAAGTGACGTGTAGTTAGTATCGGGGTACGGAACTTTTGTAACCTTTTTCTCATATGTCATTAAACAGTAAATTGTGAAATTGACACATTATGCGTTTAACTGCAAATTGGTGTGTTGAAACAGCGAATAACTTGTCCAATAAAACGTGGCAAGTTTTGTGTAACCTTATAAGGAAGACCCTTTGTGTTCAATAGAACGGATTCTTTAATTTTTCTCAATGGCACAAAGGAATATATGTTTGTCTTCCTTTTGTGAATGGATACCATTCATCCAAAAATGCAAAATGGTTTACGTTATGCTTCTAATTTTGTGTTAGCAAACATGTAAATCATCTAACTACATTTACTATTATTAAAAAAAATGGGAATCTTTTTGACAACTTTGAATAATTTTACGTCACAACCACCATTTTTTTGAATCACACTGCATATTCACATGTAGTTAATCTCTAAGCCCAAAAGTTTTAGTTGGACACTAACTATAAGTTTTAATTTGATAGGCTAATTTATTTATACATCTTATATTAATATACTCAGTGACGTAACTTAAAAATTACCTAAACCATGGGTAAACTCCTAAACTGTGGTTAAATTGTCAAACCATGACCAAAGTTTTATGATAAATAAAACGGATTTATCGAAGTACCGTCCAATCGTATGCCGGACATGTGATCTATATAGTCTCTTACGTTTTGTATTTTTTATTAATATTTTATATTTGCATTCCTATTATTTATTTATATTTATTAAAAAAGATTATGATCATCATAAAAATAATTCTTTTTTTGACCTAATTCGGCTTGTAATAATAAAACAAATCAATTCTTTTTTTTTGTTCAATAAAACAACCCGCAGTTTAAGTTTCGCCAACTTCGCTGCAAGATTAGGCCTAAACTATGGTTAGTTCCCGGCCATCATCCGCTAGCCTTGTGTCTTTAATTATGTATCTATTGCATCACGAATCTCCTTGAGTTACGTCTTGAGTCACGAATTGCGTCCTGCATCCCTTGCATCATGAATTGTGTTTTGCGTCACGCATAACACCAATTGCAGCTTTTAAACCATTACAACTGTTTCGCCTTTTATATTTAATTAATTTTATTATCTGAATTTATGTAAATCACAAAATTTTTTTATTAACCCAAAATCAACCCGAACCCGACCCGTCAGGAGCTTTATTATTATACATATTCACCCACCAATTCTATTTATTATAGATATAAGGAAATTCCATTTATTTTATTATATATATATTCATCCATTAACTACAGATGTAAGAAAGTTCAGATTTATTTCTCAATAATTCATATATTAATACAATCAAATATTTGAGGTGTGGTATTGTTGTTGTTGCTGTTCTTGTTGATCATGATTTTGCTGCTGCTGCTGTTATTATTGTTGTAATTATTGTAATTATAATTGTTGTTGTTGTTTTTGTTGTTCTTGCAGTTGTTGTAAGTGTTGAATTTCCTGTTGAATTTCAGTGTAATGGGCCATTAACCATAAAATAATTGTCAATTGACGTATTTAATGTTCTTGATCAGACAATAGTGGTGGTAGTTGTAGTAGTTGTTTCTTGTTGGCCATGATTTATGCCATGGTCTAATTGCTTGTTATGGTACAGTTCTGCTGTCTATGGTAATTTGTGCACTGTCTTCTTCGAAACATCTGACGAAAAGCTCACACACTTTCTTTTCTTTCCAGGAGTTGATGATTTTATTCCATTTGCTTTTAAATCACCATTTAAATGCTCATTGATGTTTATTGTTTATTTTGTTGCTTCAGAAGGTTCTCTACAAAGTTTGTATATAACTAGATCTTAACTAATGGCTACTAACATTACTCTAATAACACTTGCCTTGAAGTTTCTTTAACTTTACTTGTTCGTTATTTTTTCTGGCGAATCTATCCGACATTTTTAAAATTAATAAATTAATAATAATAATAACATTGCTTGGTCTGAATTCATTTCGTCGAAAGTTTGTTTCATCGAAAGTTCATTTCGTCGAAAATTATTTCGTCACAAAAAAAAAACTTCATTAAACAAATTTTTCCTCACACTTCCCACACAACCCGCTTTCCTCACCTAATTTCTTAAATAATTTCTCACACTCCTCACATCTAACTCGTTCGGTCTCTGGCTCGAGGATGAAATAATTTTCGACGAAATGGGTGTCGACGAAATGATTGTCGACGAAATAATTCTCAACGAAGTAAATGCGACCGTTGCATATTAAATATATAAATCTAAAATGTTGAAATTATTGATAATGATGATGATATAGATTTTAAATAAAATATTGTATAATCATAATGAATAAAATAAATGTATTCATTTATTATTATGTCACAAATTCCATGCCTTATGCGCGGAACCAAAAACGTACCTTTTCAGTGTGTTACAATTTAAAATGCACCTTTTACTTTTCAAATTCTGTGCTGATTCCGTACCAATTCAATTTCACACTAATACTAAATTTGAATAGGGAAATTTTTTCAAAACCGTAAATACGTTAATTTACATTTTTAAGAACGTATTTAACACACGTTAATTCCGTATTTTATTTTTCATGGGGTCAATAAAGCACATATGTGCAACTTTTATTTCATAGCATGAAGGAATTATTAAATTATGTATAAAAAAATTCCAAATAAATAAATCATGATAAGGGTTTTTGCTAGGATCGGGTTTTTCAAACCCTTTTTTGCCCAATGATATTAATTTTTTTACCTATTGTGATGGGCCAACTGTGTTTGCCTCTCCATATTCCAGTACATTTATTATTACTTTACCAAGATCCATTTGTTGAACGACATGTCTAATTTTAATCAATGAATTGAAAGCATCTACATTTCTAAGGCTTGCTAAAAGTATGTAGAATATAATTATTAGACCAAACATGGCTATCAAGTACTGTGTAGCAAACTGTACATCATAGCATGTTTTGTTCACCGTAAATTGAGTGGTACCAACGATTTTAGCCTGGTTGGTAGGAGTCACCATATTGATCATAATATCATTCCACTGGCGTTTGTACATACCACTTATATCCTTTTCAGTTAATCCCTCTTCTTTCCATTGTTGTAATAACGCCAAATTTCCAATCCCATCTCCTCGATAACCTTTTAAACTATCCTCAAGCTTACGCATCATGTCAACTGCAATAACAGGAGCAGAAGCAGCATTTGCATCGATATCCCATATGTTGGAAGTTCCTGCTGGTAACAAAAGAGTATTTTCACTTACTAAAAAACTATTATTAGGAAGTTTTTCTCCAAATTCAACTCCTCCCCACCAAGGATTCATTTCAGCAATATTAAGGGTTCCCTTTTAAATATACCATTGTGCTGGGATAGTTTGCACATCTGTTATATTAATTGCTCCTGTTGTACTGGATTGCAATTTGATGGTCTTTACACTTGCTTCAACTACACTAGCACAGCTGTACAAAGTTTGTTCAATTCCTCATGTAGTATGTATGGGAAATCCAAGTAATATCCAGCAGTCAACACCAACTACATTTTTTGTAAGATTGTCTACTTTACCATATCATTCACACTCAATTAAAGCATACAAGCTAAGTGTTGAGTTAAATTTAACATCAGAATCAAAATAACTATTAAGTGATTTTCCTGAATTAACAGTTTTTGGCTCCTCAAAATTAACTTTAAGAACAGGTGACTCAAAAAAAGTTCCATTTGCTGTCATATTTAATTCTTGCATAAGAAGAGATTGTATAAAACGACTATACCAGTTGCTTTTTGCTGGAAGATTGGTTGATTGGTCTCAATCATTGATTGTACTTATATATGGTGAATTTATATCAGTGTTGTTAATAACCACATAGCCTATCCAATCAGTAAACAAAGAGGAGGTATTGTTTTCCCATGAAATTATTGTGAGATTGGTTGAATGACAACTGACATGTGGTTACAACCACAAGCCTTGAATTGACCAGCTAAGACTCCCATTGGTTTTTAAATTGGGTTTGATTGCATTATTTATTAAAAGTCCACCATTACCATGATCTACAACCATTGTGTCAATAATTCCATAACCCTCCTTCTGTATGCTTGTCACATTCAACATCATAAAATCATAGGAAGGATATGAAATATTATCAATACTACTAGTTTTCAACACATGATATCTCATTGCATTGTTACTGTATGTTTTGTTAAAGTAAATTGCATATTCTTCATCAACATGCAACTTATCTTTCATTCCTGGACATGGTTGGTAGCGAAATCCACCACATATCCTAATGCTTGTTAGCTCCTTCAGAGAAAAATGCCTTATGCAAAGTTTGCACACTTAAAACATACTTATTTCATGCTCAAAACTCACTTAATTTAAGTAGAATTAATTAATGCTTTGAGCATGAAATAAGTATGTTTTAAGCATATTTCAAGTGTAATTTAAGCACATTTTGACTATTATGGGGAAACACTTAAAACATTCTCGTTCCTTGCAAATTTAAGTAGAAATTAAGCATGATTTTCTACTTATTTTCTACTTATCATACTTGAACCATACTTAAATTATACTTAAATTAAACCTGAACTATACTTGATTTATAATTGATTTATTCTTAAAATTACTAGAAAATATATTGTTTTAAATAATTTTATTTATTTATTTAAATACAAATAAATTTTATAAATAGCAATAATAATGATGATAACTAATTTTTTTCTTTAATTGTTGTGTAAAAATAACCCATTGTTTAACTATGAACCATTTTGGAAGAAAGAAATATTAATCACAATGTTATATATATATATAATAAAAATTATATTATTACTTACTGCGTTATGCTTTGATGGTCATGTGCATAACAATAATAGTGATAGCAAATCTCATTTTGGAAGAAGAGAAATATTAATACAATGTTATATATTTAATAAGAATTATTATATTATTACTTACCATGCGTAACAATAAACCAGTAAATCCCGTTGATACAATAAGAATTATTAGTAATATATTATTATTACCTTGATGGTCACATGCATAATAATAAACCCATTAATACAATGAATGTTATACAATAAATTATTATTAATAAATTATTATTACTTACCATGTTAACAATAAGCCATTATAATAAATCAGTTGCATATGTAACAATAATCATAATAGTAAACCTCATTAATACATTATATATATATAATAAGAAGTATTATTAGTAATTGATATATTATTACTTACCATCCACCATTATGCTTTGAACAATAATCCAATCCCAATGTTTAATTGGTAGATCTGTTTTTTTGAAAAAACAAATATTAATATGATGTTATATAAATAGTAATATTATTCATTATCTACTAGTATTAACTATGTTATGTTTCCCCATTATCTGTTTTTTGAAGTTACACATTTTCTTTTAATTAATGAATAGATGAATGAAAGAGTGAGCAAAATAAAATAAACCAAAGATTTCTCAAAGATCCATATGCTGTTTGTTCATAATTCAGCTGTTATTAATTATACTGTCTTTTGATTAGCTCCTTTTTTAATAATACTATAGTTTCAAAGATGTAATCTTCATTTTATGTAAACAAAAAAATATTGGTTGTGTGATGTATCCTGCAGATCAACAGAGAAGTTTAATATTACTGTATAATGATAAACTCCACTTTAATTAATGTTATAATTATAAATGAATTTCAAAAAAGGGCAATCTGGACATCCAGAAAACAATCATAATAATTCCAACTGTTTCCTAAAAGAAAATCTTTCAATGATGGTGAACTCGTTATTCTAGTTTATATTGTAATTAAGGATACCAGCTGCAGCTTTCGATGAGCTAATTCGTGATCCACCAGTTAAGGAATGATTTAATTAATGCCGATCCAGGCAAATTTTTTAAATTTCATAGTAATAATAATAGTAATCGATTTTTTGCACCCATAGAAAGTCATGCATTTATTATGTTACATAAAAAAAATCTTATATCAAACTATGTGAATCAAAAGTAAAAAACTACATTTACTTACAAATATATGGGCTATTAAATTTGTCAGTTATCTGTTATTTAAGGAGCAGTCCTGGATTGTGGGTATAAAATTCATATATCATCAGGAAATTAATTTAGCGTAAACTTGCATAAATCTTACAATGCCGATGTAATATTGTGTAAATCTTACAGTGCCGACGTAAGTTTTACACTTTTTTATTATTAAACTTACAATTGACATGTGTAAAATTTTTTTATATTTTCCGGATGATTAAAATATATAAAATAATTAGAATGTGTTCCAGAATAATAATATTATTAAATATATTTAATAACCACAATGGTAGCTATTGACTTTATTTATTTTTACTGTTTATTTATATCTAGAAAGAACTAACAGTAATTGTTACATATAATAATAACAGAGGAAAATTTATAATATTAATTTTAATAGGTCAATAAACTATCACGGGTCAAAAAGTGGCAAAACAGCTATATTTAAACCAATAATTATTGAGGTGTGTAAAGTTGGTGTCTGGTCTAAGAAATTGCAATTTGGGATGTTTCAACCTAGGTCACAACTAATTGCAGAATTTCAAATCAGTTGCAGACACCAATTTTAGAGTCATGGTTAGATTTAAATGTTAAATCTGGACATCCATTTTTATGATTATAATTTGAAATTATTGACTATTTTTTTGGTAGGCTTATAAAGCAGTTAAAAATGCGTGTAATACATGGTTTTGGAAATTTAATAAAGCTCTTGGCAAGTTTTTCTTCATATAAATCATTTTTCAATGAAAGATCTGTATGTTTTGGCCAATAATATTTGTTTTGATTTTAGAAAAACAATTCTGAATTATGTAACTTTATAAATTTTGGAGCTATTTTTATAAATTTAAATTAAAAAGATAACCAGATATTCAGAGTTTTATTTAGTAAATTTTAAAGTACAAATCTACATGTAAAATATTATGCTATTTCTGCAGTGGTTCCAGATTATGGACACTAATTGATTTTACTATGATGCTTATCCCGGAATTTTACTATGTAGATCCTTTCCTTCACTGACAGTCACAGGTCTAGGGATGAGGCGGTTCCACTAGGGAACCGGTTCTGAGCAGTTCTGAACCGACCCATGAACCGGTTCCAGAACCGAGTTCTAACCATTCCCCATGTGATTTATACCTATATGAGGAAATCCCGAGTTAATCTTTCCTTAAAAGGAATGATTAATACAAATAACATGACTTATTAATATTCAAATAAATTAAATTAAATATTATTATTCTTATTATTATTGTTATGTAAATAACAAATAAATGGAAAATGATGAATGAATATGATAGATATTAATATACAAAATGATTTTCTACTTATTTTCTACTTATCATACTTGAACCATACTTAAATTATACTTAAATTAAACCTGAACTATACTTGATTTATAATTGATTTATTCTTAAAATTACTAGAAAATATATTGTTTTAAATAATTTTATTTATTTATTTAAATACAAATAAATTTTATAAATAGCAATAATAATGATGATAACTAATTTTTTTCTTTAATTGTTGTGTAAAAATAACCCATTGTTTAACTATGAACCATTTTGGAAGAAAGAAATATTAATCACAATGTTATATATATATATAATAAAAATTATATTATTACTTACTGCGTTATGCTTTGATGGTCATGTGCATAACAATAATAGTGATAGCAAATCTCATTTTGGAAGAAGAGAAATATTAATACAATGTTATATATTTAATAAGAATTATTATATTATTACTTACTATGCGTAACAATAAACCAGTAAATCCCGTTGATACAATAAGAATTATTAGTAATATATTATTATTACCTTGATGGTCGCATGCATAATAATAAACCCATTAATACAATGAATGTTATACAATAAATTATTATTAATAAATTATTA